ATTAATTGAACTCCATGGCAGTCTCTACTCCTTACAAATATATCTGATTTAGTATAAGAATTAAGAGAAAAAAAATGCGGTCAACAAGGCATGGCCCCAAATGGAGAAATGGGTGGGTGAATATGCGAAGGGTAAAGAGAAGAAAGATGGAGAAGAAGAAGGTTAAGGAGTTGCAGAGGCTGGTTCCTGGCAGCCGTACGGTGGATATGGAAGCTTTGTTTCAAAACACTGCTCGTTATATATTTCTACTACAAGCTAAAGTCAGTCTTCTAAGGACTCTATCTTCCTTCTATGGTCTCTAATTTACCTACAACTTATATATATATATATATATATAATATAATTATCATCTCCTCAATTCAAGAACTAAGAAACTTGTTTAATTAATTCTCTTAATCTTCTATTTAAGCTATTTCTTAGCAGAATCGAACCATGTTTAATTTCAAGCTTAATCATCGTTAATATATAGTTATCTTGTTGTTGTGATCTAAAAACATGGTGTATTCTCTGACTCTTGAATTTAGTTAAATATAACTTTTAAAAGTTATTCATATATGCATGGAGCACAACTAGAGAAAGAGAGATATATATATATATATAGAGAGAGAGAGAGAGAGAGAGAATTATTACAATTTCTTTTATCTTTCTCACAAGCAATTAATTTATTATCAATTATTACTTAAGTTAATAGTTGATACATTTTTTTTTTAATAAAAAATCTAAGACTTGAATCAAACTATACTTTTATTTACATATGTACTTATTTTAAGATTATTTATGTTATATTATAATTAGTGAATATTACCTAATTTAATGAATGTATATATTTTTTATTCAAAAAAATATTTAATTATTTATTAAAAACGTACATATAGTAGTTAATCTTCTTGTGATAATTATAGAGTTAGAGTGATTTGTTGTAGTATTAATTACTTTGATTAAGCATATAAACTTTTATAACTTAAGACTTTAATAAGAAAGCATTATATACTCGAGATGTATATATAAGTTTAATCAATTATGCTTTTCTTTTTTTTTTTTCCCCTCACAAAAGAGAACGTAAAAGCAAAAGCACACTTAATAATTATATATTCTTATATCCCATTAAACGAGCTTAAAAAATGTCACAATGATGAAGATGGAGAAGTTTCTTAGGATTCTTCAAAGACTGTAAGAGCTTATTGAGCCCCATGGACTCTGGTATAAGTCTAATAAGTACAACGATGAGCACAAAAATTTTCATACGTACATTTTCCGATCATGTCTCCTCAGAAATATTTATTAATCATGTTCGTAACATATATCAAAGGGTGAAACATTTAAATATGCTGAAACATTTCTACTTTAAAAAAAAAAAAATCATTTCCTAATACTTGTTTAAGGTAAAAAGTTATGATGATATATATATACGTAGATGCAATTATAGAGGCGAATTAAAAGGTGCTTGAGAATTCGAAAAATTCTGAGTTAATTAATTTCTCAATCGGGCAGGTGACAGCAATCATCCATCTACTACATACATCTATACATCTACATATAATATAGGTGTCTATATGAATATGCTTGTCATGGGAATCACATGGTGTGTACGCCATAGCTTGATATAAATCATATATGTGTTTGTGTGGTAGGTGTGGCTAGATTACCACAATAATTGAACCATCTAATTAATGTGATTAGGATATAACTCCATCCCTAATTATCAATACACGTTTGAAACCAGCCCAATTTTTCTTATTATCAACTTGTTAACAATTAATAACCCACAAAATAATAATTATTAATATTATATACATATACACATACACACTTTAACTTTAAAGGTACACGTAGATCTATTAATATAAGGCTATAGGTACGTATATCCTGCATGTATGCGTACATCTACGAGTAATCATGTGGTATTTTACGTAGGATAACCCTAAGAAAGTAGGGTATGGATATTAATTCTTACTGGACATTTAGTGAGCAATTATCAATAAGAAAAAAAAAAAAAAAAAAGTTCAGGGCTACAATTAAATCAAAATATTTTATAAATTATAATTATTTTATTTTGAATATTTACTAAAAATTATAAAATAAAATTTAATTGTAAGACTCTTACTCATTTAAAGTATTTAATTAATTTTATTTCTGATATAATTGAAATTCTGAGAATAAGGGGCCAGGCCGAGGACACATCAGTAGTAGTTGGAGATGACTCGAAGTTGGAGGAGATAGAATGGCACATGTGGAATAGTGGATACATTAATTTAAAAGGAAGCGGCGGTATATATATATATATATATACACACACCCATAGATGTGTGTGTATATATATATATATATATATATATATATAGATGTATGTAGATACATGTATATAGTGTTTGACTTGGAATACAAAGACACCAAAAAACACTTTAAGCTTGTCATCTCCACCTCCGGACTTCCATGTTTTGGATCCCGAGCCTTGCTTGTTCTTACCCTTTTTTAAAAAAAAAAAAAAAAAATTAATACAAATACTGCAACATTTTTAATAATTAACTATATATTAATATATGAAAAAGTTTATATATATCTATGACTAATTGAAAACATTGGTTTCTCAAAAATGGGTGTTTATTAATATATGAAAATAAATAAAATTTTAAAAATTATAACGCAGCAATTATGAGTTATATAACGAATATAGTGAATTAAAATTTAGTGTGTGTGTGTATATATATATATATATATGTACAGATGCTGTAATAATTGTTGAAATATAGAAAGGGTGGGTGTCATGTGAGTACGATATAGAGGACCATTTAAGGAGGTGATGAAGATTTAGTCTTGATGTACGATTTGCTCTAATTAATAATGTTCGTAACTCCTAATAATTTCGGCGCTAATTACCATTAACAGTAATTAACAACTTCATTCACTAATTATTAGATTAAATTGTGTTAAGATTAATTTAGTATTAACAAGTATAAATTAATTGGAAAATACGTTGATTATTATAAATTAAAAAAAAAAATACATTTTAGAGATTTTTGGCGTGCATTAAACGGTGGGCCCCGCAGATTTTAATCCTGAGGAAAAAGAAAATTGTGGAATGTATAGGATGCCCGTAAATCACGGGGGCTGATTATATTATATTTTAATGGTTATCACAATTTTTTTTATAAAAAAAAAAGTAATTCAATTAATTATTTTTTTACTCTGATATTAAATTGAAAAATGTACAAAAATTTTAAAAAATATATCACTTAATTAATAAATTAAATATAAATATATTTTTCGAGAATTTCAAATAAAATTATAATGCGTAGATGGGTACAGATTTTAATTGTTATGTATTTTAATAACAAAAATGAATTATTTGATCTATAAATATGGCTGGTTTTATTTTAAATATATTATTAAAATAAAAAAAAATTAAATTTATTTAATTTCTCAATTTATTTATACGCATGAGCACATAAAAATTGTTTTAAATTGACATCCGTGTATTTTCTTTTTTTTTTTTGTTTGTTTAATTTAAATAAGAAACAAAAAAAGTACAAAGAGACGTAATCAGCGTGGGTCCCACCAGAAAGTCAACCACATGCATACATATTAAACTATGATTTATAAAACAAATTAAATTAAAGTCTGGTAATTTGATTTTGAACATTTTCCGTGCACGAATTTTGTCCACCTATAACATTTTATGAGGGTACTAAAATTAACTTTTATATAAGATTAATTTCCTAATTACTTTAGTTCTAAAAAAACTTTATAAATATATTATAAACTTACCTACACACAGTAGCTAGCTGTTAATAAAATATATTTTCTTTTAAAACAAATGTATTTATAATTGCTTAAAATTACAATTTATATATATATATATATATATTTTTTTTGTAAATTGATTTGAAAAGCATTTATATGTGTACGTAGGTATCTATTAAAAATAATAAAGGAGTGTAGTTTGGGAGAGAAAGGGCATACCATTAAAAAGCCCCATGTGGAGAGCATGTGGGGGTACCCCTTCCGTAGAGAAAAATCCCATGCCCTTCCTGTGGGGCCCATTTCCCCCTCTCTCAGAATCACCATGTTTTCCGGATCCTGCCAATTCTATTCTCTTTTTAATTTTTACAACAATTTTATCTAATAATATAAAATTTCATTTTTTTTTATTTTTAAATTAATTATGCTGTCTTCATTCTAGCAAGCTCTCAGTACCATGAGAAAGATTCTTGTTCAATTTTTTTTTTTTTCTTCTTTCGTTTAAAAAAGAATAACAAAACGTTGTAAATTTGAAATTTGTCCAGATATATATATATATGTCTATGTATATGTATATTAAATTATATATTCAGTATTATGTATATATAAAAAGAGTAATTAAAACTGGAGAAGGACACTTTATTCTTCTCGCCCAGAAACGAAAAAAAGGCTTAAGACTTAAAAAGGGCAATCAGTCTGATATTGTGAATGTTATTTTTATACCAAAGCCATAATGGGCGCGCTCTGTTTTCTTTTAATTTTCTCCGTATTCATCGCAACCTTGTCACCCAAAAAGCTATATACTCTTTATATGTGTGTGTGTATATAATAGTTAGGCTTTTATTTGCTACTCTGATATGCTTTGAAATTACTATATAACATATTCTTTATTTTAATTATTTGATTTTGATTTTTACCACTTCAAAAATAAAATTTTTTGATATTATAAACCCATGTGCAAAACAATATCAAAGATTAAAAAAAAAAAAAAGTTTTGGGTTTTATGGGATTAGACTTATTGACAAAAGGGTTCTTGAATATATGATAAATTAAGTGGAATTGGACCGGAATTTATAGAAAATGTGTTGAAAAAAAAAAATGTTGAATTAAAATTTTGATTGCTTGATTAAAATTGTGTAGGGTTTGCAAGGTGGGGCATGGACACCATGTGCGTGCATGTGCTGTGTCTTTTCTCTTAAAGGCCCACCACTCGTCTCCATTGAGCAAATAAACGGAGTTCCTTCCTGCACATTCTCCTCTCTCTCTCTCTCTCTCTCTCTCTCTCTCTCTCTCTCTCTCTCTCTCTCTCTATCTCACCTCCCAATTAATATTCTTATTGGATTTGTAGAACTGCAGCTCTTTCTGCTACTCTTTAACTTGTCGTTTCTCATACTCATGATTTTCACTCATCTTCTCCAACATTAAATCGCAACAGACGTAAGTTCGTTTCATTTTTTTCTTCATTATTTCTGTATTAATGGATATTAAAAGGTTCTACCCAGTGTATGTCATCATCTTCATTCACACGCAGATGTAACACGTATATTCATTTAACCCTACCTCGTCTGCTTCTAACTCCCTGCAATACACGTTGTTTCATAAATCCTTGGATTATGTGCTATTAGTAGGTGTTCCTAAGTGTGTCTATATATGTATATGTGATTCCCAACTAAATTTCATTTTCTTTCGCTCTTTTCTTTATTAGGATGATGAAGGTTCCCAGCTCATTCAAGAAAGAATTCCTAAAGAAATGGATAGTCGGTCTCCAGGTATGCGGTTCCTTGAACAAGAACATGAGCGTGTCGGAGAGGAAGAAGGCAATAAAGTTATCAGCCGATATAGCCATGGCTTCTGCAAGAAATGGTAGCACCTGTTGGAGTCGTGCTCTCATTGCCAATGCTTCAAAACAAGACGCTAACAAACTAGTGGTGGAGCACGTATTGGGTGACGACGAGTCTAGAAAGCTAACCAAGCAATTGCCAGTAGGAACATCAATGGCGTTGGCAAGAAAGATCAGGGTTATCAGGAGCAAGAAGAATATATTGAAGAGGAGGTCTGGTCCTATGAGAAGAGCTGCAAGAAAAAGTAACAGTAGTCTATCAAGTAGTTGTATTGCGAAAAGGTTGGTGAGAAAGAGAAGTCAAGTATTGAAGAGTCTGGTACCTGGAGGAGAATTCATGGATGAAACCTCTCTGATTGAAGAAACCCTGGACTATATCCTATCTCTTCGAGCTCAGGTAGATGTCATGCTCAAGCTTGCTAATGCTACTGAATTAGTGACGAATCAGAAATAAGGGCATGCCATCAATTTTTATTTAGGATATTCTATATATCGCCTTTTTTCTTTTTACTCATATTTTGCAAGAATATTAGGATATTGGAGGAAGGAAGAAAGAATATTAATATATATATATATATATATATATATATATATTATATAGAGTTGAGGCCGTATGTACAGAAGAATCATATCAATTAGTTAATCCAAGGCTCTCATGTTCTCTACCAGTTCTCGTTAACATTGTAAGTTAGTCGAGTGTAGCTTGCTTAATTGTAGCGGCATTAATAATTAAGATCATGAAAAGCACGATAATGTCTTGATATATCTATAGATATATAGATTCTTACTTAATTATACACAGACATTATATACATATACATATGTCATTTTGATCTTTAATTTGAATGCAAGATAGAGAGATAAATGATGAGGAATAGTTGACAGTTTGTACCTGTGGCTATTGGTGCGGAATATTAATAATATTGCAGAAGCAGTACATATATACATATACATATATATACACACACACACATGATTTTGAACGCAATAAATTTACAGTCATCCCACATGGAAGACTTGCTTAAAGAGGTATAGGGTTATTGTAATCTTTCTTTCATTTGGCTAAGAACCGATGGATGGATTTGTATTATAGCGGTTTGTAAGTAATACCTATATATATATACACATAAGAAGAGAGAAAAGCTGGTACTGACACAAGTAACAATGAAAGGCCAAGCTCTGTATGTGTTTCGTGCACGCCCGTGCTCGCCTCTCTTCTTCCTTGCGCAGCATGCACATATGTGTATGTGATGGAGACAGGAGCTAAATTATAAACCTATATTTATAGATCATGTACGTACATACTAGATGTTATCGTATATTGGGTTCTGTTGTTTCAGCAATTTAGTTACCGTATACACACATACATATATAAATACATACACGGGTAGATATATAACATACATATATGTATTTTATTAAATTTCATCCTTTAAGATATTCAAAGAAAGACAATCAGTCCACTAAAATTGGCTTTAATTTGAAGTCGTATGACCTGGTCAACATAAAGAAAACACCCATGCGACACTGATCATGATTCATAATCTTGGAAGGAGAATGTGGACCAGACTCTTTACCTTGGGATCTTTATTAAACCACTTTTTTCCAATTTGTACGTACTGTAGTATGTGATCATGCAACTATTTGTATATGTATTTCCCTCAATTACATATATATGTACGTATATGCAGCGAAGCGTGTGTGTATATATATATATATATATATATATAATCAAGAGCATAATGAAAAGCATGTAGTTCCTTTTGAATGCATTTTATTTATAAAGTTGATAATTGAGTTGAATCTCTACCCTACATCGCCTAAAAAAAGAAGCTGATGTTAACATGTAACATATGAATTTTGTGTAAACTGAGTTTATAGTACACACATAATTAACACATGCATGCCAGTTTTTCTCATTCTGCTTTAATAATTAAGCCAGAGTTTACAATGAAGAGTATAAAGGCAACATATACATATATAGTCAAAGATTCTTATATTTTGTTAATTAAAAGATATTTGCACCCTAATAATAATACAATTTATATTATATGGTATGCATTATGTAATTTATAACAAATAATTTTGTAAAACTTTTGAGAGAATATACATAATCCAAGATTTTAATGAAAATATACAAAATTCAAATTCACGATCTGGTAGAAAAGTATAGTAATACCCACTACAAAAATATGATTGGTAAGTATATATTATATGTAGATGTGTGTGTGTGTGTGTGTGCTTGTTTAAAAATGTAAAATCAATGATTGCATTTATTCAAATTCCCAAGTTATGATGAGAAGAGAATTAATTATGAGGTAATTAATTAGCAAACAACTAGTCAAGCCAGAGGTTTGAACATTGAATTGTAGCAGCTTTTCCTGATGCAATCAATAGTCAAGCTCTGGTACAGCTTCATTAACTATTTTATACATATACTGCATACAGACAAGTAAATAAAAGGATACTATCTAAAATTTTAATTGGATTTATTTCTTGTTAAACTAAAATTACTTTTGAAATTTGAATCCAACTATCTAATCTGGTTAAAGTTAGTGATATGTTGCAATTCAAGCATGCGATTCAAATTACTTTGTTGTTAGAT